TAAAACTATTAGTCGATATTTCAATAGATATGCTGAAAAGTTTAAAGGTTATAGTTTTTTGTTGTCCATCACATAGCACTAGAATTGTGGAATCAAGGAATGTGAAATTTCTTGTAAATTACTTTATTAGTGGAAGTAATTTAATTCAAAATAATCACAATGAAGTTCAACCTTTTAAATCAAATGATAGCCTAGTTTTCATTAAGACTCCTTTAATTCAAGAGTGAATTGGACAACTAATTATTCAAGTTCCACAAATTGTTGGAGATAGATCAAGTTATTCAATAACTAGTTGAACAACAAGTTTCTCATGAAGGCAGTAAAGCAACATTAAAAAGATCTACAAGAATAAAAAAACATCTATAATTTCTAGTAATTATGAAGTGCATTTACAAGAATCAGGATATAATATTGGAGTCGAAGATGATCCTGAAACATTTTTACAAGCCATGAGTTCTCGCTAAAGGGTTCACTCAAAGGGAAGGAACCCATTACAAGTTTTGTCCATTGTCTCGAAAGGATTATTTACAAATAATCATGACATTAGTAACTCATTTTGTTTTTTGGTTATACCAAATGGATGTGAAAACGACTTTTCTTAATGGTGATTTAAAGGAAGAGGTTTACATGAAACAACCTGAAATATTTTCTTTTAGTGATGGTGAGCACTTAATTTATAAGTTTAGTAAACCCATCCATGGTTGAAACAAGCTTCACATCAATAGTATTTAAAATTTCATGAAGTTAATTCTTCATTTGATTTTGAAGAAAACATAATGGAACAATGTATATACCAGAAGGTTAGTAGGAGTGGGATTTTTTTTCTTATTTTAGTTGTGGATGACATTTTTCTTGCAATTAGTCACAAGGGAGTGTTATATGAGGTGAGATAGTTTCTTTTAGAGAACTTTAATTTGAAAGATATGAGTGAAAAATCTTATGTCATAGGCATTAAGATCCATGGAGAAAGATCTTAAGGTATTTTGGGCTTATCTCAAGAGTCCTATAAGAGGTTTGATATGAAAAAATGTTCACCAAGCATAACTCCTATTGTGAAGAGTGATAAGCTTGAGTTGGGTCAATGCCCAAAAATGATCTTGAATAGGAACAAATGAAGAATGTTCCATATGCTTCAAAGTATGATTAGATTTACACCAGACCTGGCATTCATTAAAAATTGAAGTTTTTGTAAAATATCAGAGTAATCCAAGTGTTGACCACTAGAAAACTACAAAGAAGGTAATGAGATATCTTCAAAGAATAAAGGATTTCATGCTCATATATTCATATAGACGACCTAATAGTTTTGGAGGTGGAAGGCTACTCCAACTCAAACTTTGTTGGTTGCATTAATACTAGAAAATCAACATTAGGTTATATTTTTATGTAAACCAGTGGAGCTAAACTTTGAGCAACAAAAAGTCGACCTTGACTACGACTTCCACTATAGAGGCCGAGTTTGTCTCTTGTTTTGAGGTTACCTCATATGGTGCATGATTGAAGAGTTTTATATTTGAGATTGCAATTATGGATTCAATTGCTAGGCCATTAAAGTAATATTATGAAAACTCTGTTATAGTATTTATGGCTAAGTGATCGTGTTAAGTGATGATTGAACATGTTAGCACTGAGTTGATGATTGTTGATTCTTTGACTAAAGGCATGTTGTTAAAGAATTTTAAGGATCATTTAGTTAAGATTGTATGATGAAAAGCTTTGATATATTATGGTACATGGGAGATAGTACTCAATTTTTGAAGTCTTGCCACCATGATCCTTATATCTTGTATTGATTTATAATGAGATAAATGGATTAAGTGAAAGAACATTGGCCATTTTCTGAATATGGGATAATATGAGATGCTCATGTTAAATCAATTATTTCCATAAATATGGTCAATTTAGTAAATCAACTTTTAGAATTGTTGCCTGAATTTTAATATAGTAATTGAAACACAGGTAAACTCTAGAAATGAGGGTTTTGAATAAAGTTTAAAACTTTTTTGTAATAAAGTGTTAAATGCTATTTTTAGGGTTTAGATTGTCTATAGATAATGTTGAGCACTTAATAATTTTAAGAAACATTTAGAAAGCTTTTAAAACGATAACAATAAAGAAAACTTGTTTTTATACTAGTTCACTCCAAACTGAGTTACATTTAATTTTCCCTTAAGCTCTCTTAAGGGGTTCAATTAATCTTTAAAACGATTACAAAGAGTTTAACCACTCCTGATTTGACACTAGTCCAACTGACTAGACGAGTATCACCACTCCAAGTATACAAATAATCTAACTGACTATATCATTTAACTTCACTAACTTCAACAAACAAGTATTTTAAATCACTTTTGATTCTACAAAAACAACAAAGTGTTTTTATAAAAAACTAGTACATATAATAATTATCGTAGAGATGATATATTTGCAATACAAAGAATATTTTAAAACTTGTAACAAAGATTTTTCATTCAAAGAAAGTGTTAGACGATACAAGTGAAAAAGTGTTTTGACAACGTAAGAGAAATAATAATTCTTGATTTTTATTGTCTTATCATGCGATCCTCTTTATATAGGCTTCTTCGAAAATGATTTGTTACTCAGAGCATTGACTTTCATTTAGGTGTCTAGCCTTTTGGTACAAGGTCATATGTTATGTTGCTTTTCTAGAGGCAACTGTCTTACTTATACAAATACCTTAGACATAAAGCATTAAGGAAACATTTCCAGAATGTCTTCCTATTCCTTAACGTTCTTTTGAATCAATGTAGAACTTTTGAATAAAACTTTGTCCTTTATGATTTGTACAAATAAAGGGAAAACAACATATTAGACAAGAAAGTATTATTTGTACATGTATTTAAACGTTAAACGTTGTTAAAATTTATTCGAAGTTTGTTTTCTAGAGTAACATTATGCGGTTTAGGATGTTTAAACATGTATAACGTTTAATATGTTATCCTAGATGGTTCCATTTCATTATACACTATTTCATTAGATACTATTGTTAAACTTCAAAACAAGGGTTAGATGATCTTGTCTTAATAATAATCTCATAAAATTTGCAATAACTTATTATGTTAGTTATTTTGTGTGTACAAAGCTCTATAAATTTCACATGTGCTTTGTGCTTTGAGTCATTAAATCTACCTCTATAATATATTATACCATCAAAGTTTATAGAGTGGGGGTTTGAAACTAAAAAACACCTTAAAGTATTCTCGTGACTGTGATAATGGCTAAAGATTAACCTTATTTCTTTTTTCTACTTTAGGTTTTATTCAAGATTCAAAATATACTGTAAATTGGCTTTATCTTTAGCCCACTTCCAATACATACTCTCATGTCGAGACATGTACATATAAAGTGTGAGACTAGACACTGTTGAATGGTCTGATAACTCGATAACGTGTGAAAAATACACCCAAAAAATAAGTGTGAAACTTGACAATGGTAAATCATGTCAAGACATATGCATATTAAATGTGAGACTAGACGTTAGTGAGTGTTTATGATAATGACATGATAATGAGTGAAATAATAAACCTAAAAAGCAAGTAAGAAATTCTAATCCATAAATCTTATACCATAATATTATGTCTCGTTATTGATCAAACCACCAATATAAATACATCTTACATGAAACTGTTACACAAATTAAGATAAGATTAGAATCACTAAAAAATACTCATAATTAACTACTAATGATAGTAAAATAAATTATTATCAACAATAATAAATAGCCATAATATCTCAATAGTCTTAATATAACTTATGTATAAACTATTTAGTTTATAAAAATAATAATTTAGTGTATAAAAATTATAGTTTTATTTTTTTTATAAATTTTTATGAAGAAATTCATCCATTTATTGTTGAAAATAATTATTGTATTAGAAATATTTTGTGTAATAAAAGTTGAAATTTCATTGCAATGTTATTCTAAAAAAAAGTTTCAAAATATTAAAAAGAAAAACATATTTAAATTTTTTTTAACCACTACTGCTAAAAACGTGAGACTATTATATTATATGAGATAAACTACTAGATGAGGAAGGAGAAAGAAAATGAAACAAAAAGAAAGAATAGCTTAGCACGAAAGTAATGTGGTCATGGTCATACAGAATAAATGTGGCTCCACTGGTCAGCGTGACGATACGTAGACGCAATGGGAACGAAGCCCAAACAAATTAGTCCATCACACACACAAATCAACGTTTCCGCGTAGACAGATCACACTCCGTTTAGCAACTGTGATCCTCCCATCATTCAAAACTCTGTCTCACAGACACAAAAATATATATAAATATTTTTTCTTTCAAATATTCCTATATATATTACGAAAAGTGGGAAACCAAATTTTTTAATATTAAAAATAATCCAAGCTTGCTCGTCCAAATACGAAAGTGGATAAACATTATTTTATATCCAAACATGTCCCACGAGAGGGTCACTTTGGATTTTCATCATTATCAATTCATCACCATAATTGAAAGAGGATGTGTTTAAAATTCTATATAATAAAACTGGAAATACATCTAAACGGGTGTGATTATATTAGTTTATATATGGTAGTTTAGATTATTTATAAAATTTTTGCAACTTTTAAGAAAATATTAATTTACTTCCTTTTTCAGACATGTTATCAGGAGCCTTATTTGCACTACGACACATTGTTTTGTTTTTGTACTTTGTATATTTTCCGAAAGGAATATTAAACTGCATATGTTTTCTGTTTTATTATCTGAAATAGGAACACAAAAAAAATAACCATGACTGTTGTAATCCTTTTCTTTTTTTTCTCCTTTCTCAAATACGATATTTTCAGAGTTTGACTGTCCTTAAACAAACAGATTAAGTAATGTTGCCAAACTTTTTTACTTGTTCAAAATAAACAGCATATCACGTTGATTAGTATTTAATAACTGTGTTATGAAATTATGTGAACTAATTAAACCGTAACAGAACTACAAAAAAAGAAAACCTTGTCGAGCAAAGCAAATCTCTCTTTTTCCTCTTAACGCGATTTACAACACAACTGTCTCGTCTCGTGTTCCCACCACCCCATATATAACCCTTTCTTTTCTCTTCTTTTCTCTCTCTCTCTTCCCGAAGAAAAATCCATCTTTTTTCTGTGTGATCAGAGGGGTAACAACGATTGCTTCTTCAATTCTTTCTAGTATATAACTGGGATTCGATCAAGTCACGAACTTTTCTTCGATTTGAATGGAGGGTCATCATCTCCATCGCCACCATGGGCAGCAACAACAGCAACAAAGGCTTCAGCCTCAGAATACGAGTGCCAACGTTGATGCGACTGATAGGTTTCCCCAATGGAGTATCCAAGAGACTAAGGAGTTTCTCGTGATTCGTGCAGAGCTGGATCAGACTTTCATGGAGACTAAGAGGAACAAGCAGTTGTGGGAAGTGATCTCAACGAGAATGAAGGAAAAGGGTTACCATAGAAGTGCAGAGCAGTGCAAGTGCAAGTGGAAAAACCTCGTTACTCGCTACAAGGTATATTTCTTCATTCATCTATCTCTCTCTCTCTCTGCATCAAACTCATACAAGAAAACATAAAATCCATGTTTTACACAAATTGACTAGAGTCTAAATAGTTCAAATCTTGCCTATATTTATATATACATATATATACATATATCAGCTTCAGTTTCTACAGAAACTCATGCATATGAAGAAGAAAGAAATCTCCTAAAACTTCATGGTATTTTTGAAAATTTGAAGATTTTGGTGTTGTTATTCAGACACTCTCCCCCCCCCCCCCCCCCCCATCTTGGTGAGTTTAAACTCATTTAACTGTTGACTCAAAAGAAAATAACTGTAGTAAAATGTTTATAGTTTTCTGGATGTCACAAGAAATATATTAAATTAACATTTTTTTCTCTCGTGATAGAGATGGGAATTAATTAAAAAAGAACACGAGCTTAACAGACTTTAATAAAATAGTTGTTAAGGTTGTTTGAATAAGTTGTAACTGGTGTTAGTTGTTGTAAGGTTTATCCATGGGTTTCTTTTTACATAAACTAAATGGTATTTTTGTTTTTGAGACGTGAAGGGGTTTGAAACAATGGAGCAAGAAGCGACGAAGCAGCAATTCCCATTTTACAATGAATTCAGTGCGATTTTCACGGCAAGGATGCAGAGAATGCTGTGGGCTGAAGCTGAGGGTGGGTCGAAGAAGAACAAGGGGACGCAGCTCTCATCGGACGAGGAAGAAGATGGCAATGAAGAGAGTGCAGAAGCTGGTGGGGGAAGAAAGAAGAAAAAAGCAAAGATAGCTAGTGGGGGTGGTGGTGGTAGCAGTTTGAAGGAGATTCTGGAGGAGTTCATGAGGCAGCAGATGCAGATAGAAGCACAATGGATGGAAGCATTTGAAGCAAGGGAAAATGAGAGGAGGTTGAAGGAGATGGAGTGGAGGCAAGCCATGGAAGTGTTGGAGAATGAGAGGATAATGATGGAAGAAAGATGGAGAGAAATAGAGGAACAAAGGAGGATCAGAGAAGAAGCTAGGGCTGAGAAAAGGGATGCTCTAATCACAGCTTTGCTAAACAAACTAGAGAGGCAAGAAATGTGATGAAGATGAAGATTTCAAGACTTTATTCAGTTCCATGATCTCCACACATTTGAAGAGGTTAGTGTTGGATTGTTCACAAGAAAATACAAATATAGTGGACACCAAGAAAAAGGCAAGAGATGTAGTTTAGTAGTTAGGAAGCCAAGTAGGCAAATAGTGTATTTTCTCTTCCATGAAACAAGCTTGATGATATATAGAGATTTGTTCTTAGTAAAAATTCTTAGAAAAAAAAAATTAACTTTATGATATTCTTGTGATTTTCTTAACTCTCTCTTCCCTCCATTGCAAAATATATAATGCTTTTCTCTGGGATTGGGCAATGGTAATTATGGGTTTTGGTCATACAACTAGGCACTAGCTGTGTTATGATTGAGAAAAGACCAATATCTGGTGTGTGAGTGTGTGTCCCCGCAAGAAATATAACAATGTTTCAAAGAGCCTCTCAATCTGGTAGTAGGTGTAGATGGCTGTATAAACTATAGTGAGCACTATATGGTTCAAATTCTCATTTACCTAACAAACAAACAATTGAAAACTGGCACAATATCATTGTCCGCAATATAATGCTCGCCATAATGGCTATTCCATACATTTACACCCACAGTTATATCCTTTATGGTTAATGGATCATTTGTTGAAATGCTTCACTTCACACAAAGTGCCCTTAGTTTCACTTTTGGTACATTTGAAAAAGAAAGGACTACAAGTTTTTTTATATATATATGTTGCTATTCTTTCATACATGTACCAACATACTTACTTTGGACACAAGCAGAAGTAGGGTTAAGTTAACTGTCATCTAATTTTAAGTGTATTCACTTCAAGTTTAATGATCTTTGTTGTTAATTCCATTTATCAACTCGTGTTTATTAGTTTTCTTGTTTTTTCAATGATTTTTCTTTGAAAGACTCCTCAGTCTTAAAGGTTGAGAGGTTGAGGTGGAGAATATGATAAAGAAATATAATACTTAAAGATGAAAAAGTGGAATATTATATAAAAAAATCTATAATAAATTTCTTGAAAGTATCTTTGTTGAAATACTTTTATACGTACAAAGGAAAACAATAGGGTAAACATGAATTTTCGAAAGTACAATGTAATAAATCTCTTAGTTATAAGGATAAATTTGAGAGCTGAATTTGCCATTTTGCATCCACATTAGGATATTTTGACAGCTAGCTGATATGGTTTTGCATGCACACGAGAGTTCTTCAAGGGTTAGTGACTATGACATGTGTACGTGAGAAAGCTAGCTAGGTGTAATTGAAGCTGGAGAAAAGTTATATCAACCTTAGGTATGAACTCATGACTTTTCTTAGATAAATTTGTGCTGCATATGTTACCATGTTTACTAATCATCAATGTTATGAACACGCATGCTAATCGACTTCTTTTCTTTTTTCTTTTCCTTTGGGAAAAAATAGTTAAGATAAGAAGAAACGGAGACATATATAGATAACTAAGATAAAAATCTTATTTGAAATAAAAAAAAAAGAATGGAAAGTTTTGTGATTTATTTCTGAATAAATGAAAGAATTAATAAAATTCAAGTATATATCTACGATATTTTCCTCTCTCTCTCTCTATTAGATATATATATATATATATATA